GGGCCGGCTGAAATCCCAACCCATTTCGGGTCAACTGATCCCAAAGGGTCAAAGGTTCATGATACGCCTCAGGTCGCAGGTAGGTAATCCTAGTTAGAGCACGACTGTGACTTTGATGGTAGGCTAAAAATAATTATATCAGGTGGGGAGCTGCGTCAGCATGCGTAGGCTGCAAAGGAAAGAGTAATAGGTTTATTCCTGCTGAAAAGAACACGTCAGGGCTGTGAAGATTAAAGATCTCTCCGAGCCTATTGTTCTCATTTCACCTCTGAAGGCCACGACCACTCTAATCTCTCCGTCTGTGCTCTCAAAGATTTCCTAACTCCTACATCAGAAAGACCACAGAAACTAAAATTATCCTGCAGCTGGGATCTCACCTTCCCTCTTCTCTCAACGACAGACTACTCTTCTACATTCTCTCTATTCATTGTAGGTTTCATTTCACACCTGTCTACACCTGTCCTGATTCCACACCTCTTGACTGGCCTCTCTTTCTGTCCCCTGCTCCCGCCTCTCGCTCCTCCTCTCTCCCAGCCTTTGTTCTCCTGCTACTTTACCTTTGCCTACTGCCCTGTCTCTCTCACACCTGGAGAAGGCTCCACGGCCGAAACGTTGTGTTCTCTTTCATCTCTTTTCAGCATGGAATAAACCTATTACTTGTTCCTTAAAAATAATGATATACAATCTACAGTTTCACCTCTGAATTATATGCAGCATTTCTACTGCCTTTAGTTCCTGACGTGTTTGGAAGTGATTGCTTTTGAAAATATTTGATTATGATCATCATGACGTCTGATGAACGCGTGCTTTGATAAAATGATCGATCGGTCATGAGCGTCACACACCCGCTAGAAGCCGATGACGTCATGTTTATAGTTGTTTTTTTGTGCTGGGCAAGAAAAACTGTCCGGCTACAGGCGTTTCCAGCGGTAAAGTTCCTCGTCTGTCGCTGTGGAATCTTTCTGGGAGGCTCTATTATTTTTGGGGAAAATATTTGCTTCCAAGAAAGCTGACGTTTTTAATGGTTAACGGTTTTCATAAAGATGCAGCATGATGACTAGCAAAACGGTGAAAACTTTGCCGTCTTGTAGTTTTAATAAATCTGTTATTTATCTGTTAATAAACCTATTTTGAAGGAATATTTTAACTTGAATAGAACAGATACAAAAGCAACGAGAAATGTGTAAAATGTATTTCTGTAAAGGTTTACAGAGATGCGTGCGCGCGTAGCGGCGACTGGAACGCCCCGTGCACTCGGAACCGCAGTGCGGCGCAGCGGGTTTCCCGGCCGGACGCAGATCGCTGCTGCACACGGGCGCTCAACAGGAAGTCGGTGCAGTAACAACACTCGCACACGTGTGGTCTGGGGACTGGGGTGCCATGGCGAAAAAGAAGAAGCTCGGACCCGGGGCCAAGAGACGGGAGCGCAAGACCGTGGTGACTTTCAACGACAAGGACAGGCAGTGAGTGACCCGGGAGGG